CCACCCCCGTCTTCCCCGTGTCACTGATGCCACCACCCGGCGGCTGATGACAAAAACCTCTCAGCCATCCTGCCAGTTCCTCACCACACACTTTCCTCCTGACCACCTCTTCACCCCCGGCCCCGACGGGCTGCCTGTCCTTGCCTTTGCCCCTCTCCCAGGGACTTCCCAGTGTAAGTCAAAGTGAGCCTAAAATGCATGCCTGACCCTACCCTTCTCCATTTACAGCCTTCAAAGGCTCCCGCTGGTCCCCATTTCCTTGCCCCTGCCTGTCCTCAGGCTCCCCCTTCCCAGCCGCTGTCCACATGGCGGCACCCTTCTCCAACTCCAGCCTTTAAAACACTGGCCCCTGGGCCTGGACCTCTCTCTCTTTCCTTCTCACATCCAGCCTCAGGACTGACCGAGTCTTGAGCCCTCTACTAGAGAAAAAAATGTGGCCATGTGGAATGAGATCGGAAAGGACGAGTCTCTCCACCCAGGAATGATTAGACAAAGGTCCTGCCATCTTCTAAGTGTGGCCACGCAGCAGCTAAACAAAAGCAAATCGCCTAGGCTGCTATCAATACGCAGCCTGATGGCTCAGGGAGAAAACCAGGGGTGCCTCAGAGTTGGGGCACCCCGCCCACAGAGACAGAGCACCATAGGAAAGGGCTGCTATATCACGGGCAGAGGGCTAGGAAGAAAAGGGCACTGGACAGACAGGGGCCACATGAGTCCACATGCACGCGTTTCCTGGGCAGAAAAGACTCCCCTTCCAGGGGCAGCAGGTCCCTGAGTGGTGCTCAACTGCTCCCCGAGACCCCTCAGAAGACAGCCTGGCGACCTGCTTAAGCCCTGAAAACCCAGCAGAGCGGTCCTACTCGGCATGCAGGGCGCCACCAAGCATCAGCACCAACGCAGCCAAGGGACCGTGTGTGTGAGGCTTCTTTTTGCTCTTCCTTGCCCACTCCACCAACCTAGCTCAGCTTCCGTACAGAAGGCAAAGGCTTTTAAAGACTGAACAGATGAAAAATAAAAAAATATACTATTGACATTCAAGTGGCTTATATCCTTCCTAAAATAAACAACCAGCCAACAAACAAACAACACATAGCCAAGGAGGCAGAGGGGGCTTCTGCAGACCAGCCTGTCTGAGGGGCTCTCGCAGGGGGTGGGAGGAGGGTCGCCCACCTCCCTGAGCACAAAGAGCAGCCAAGGTGCCCAGAGGGCACACTCACCACTCCACGATCTCCGGGTGAAGGATGGTGTTGTTGACGTTGAACCTAAAAGGAACAAACAGGTTAAGTCTGTTAGTTCAGTTGTCGATCATCTCCCAGCAAGAAATTCTAATCTAAGGCGCACGCACACACCCACCCACCAGTATTCAGACAAGGCCCCACACTTGAATCGCATGGCTCTCTGGCTACAGAGGGCCTGGTGATTGCTTGCTGCAGCAGACCTGGCTGCCTAGGCTGCACCTGCTGGAGAGCACGAGCATGGCTACAAACCCACCCCGACCCCCACCCCCCACCCCCTAACCTCCGCCAGTGAGAAGGAGCATGGCATCAGCCACTAGTTTGATTTTCAGGGCAGACGTCTGTGTCTGGGGGTCTGTTGGAAGTAAGATGCTTGAAAAGCTGACCACGAAGGCACCTTAGCTTCTCAGGGAGGCATCTGGGGTAACAAAGAGCCCCGGATAGGGCTCAGCATCCCCCAAGCCCATATTCTGGTGAGGGCCTCAGAAAAATGCCCTGGACTCAGCCACACGGGGTGGCATCGGGTGAGAGGCCCCTGAGGTGGTTTGTGGTTACAGGTCCCCAAACCCAAGCAGAGCACCTGGGTCTCACTAAGGGGAGGGAACTGACTGGCTGGACGCCCCCGCCTACCCAGACACCTTCACGTTAGCTCACATCTGTGAGCTAATGGATTCGTGAGCCGATAAGGGAAAAACCTGTCAAACTAAACAGATAACAGAATGGACGTCAATGAAGGAATAACTAGTATCAAATTTGCCCTCCTGTCACAAACAAGTAAACAACGGTTTAACAAACACCAAACAACTGTTTCTGGAGCAGCAAACCAGGATCCTGGGGAAGAACAAGAGAGATGAGGCCTGCGCCTACTGGCTTCCGGCCGAGCGACACTCTGGACCTTGGACAAAAGGGAAAGGCAAGCCGAGCACCTGGGCCTCCCCGAGGGGAGGAAACGGACAGGTCTGGAGGGACATGGAAGCAGCTTCAATGTGTGAGGCGGGATGCAAGCGCAGAGAGAGACGAGCAAAGGTCCCCAGAGTCTGCCTGGTACTAAGACACGCACGCACGCAGTTAACTTGCTCAGGCCAGGCAGTCACTAAGCATGCA